ACCAGGGAAAGTAAGCTGGTCAACAACAAGGAAGGAAGCAGTAAAGTCTCTACCTTGGATAGAAAAGGTGAGGGAAGTCTGACCTCGGACACGCAGGTGAGAACCAGCTACTCCACTAAGGGAGGACACATGAGTCGGTTCTACGAGAAGGACATGTCGTAACTGCTTATCCTTAACCCTTTGAGGGTCACCAGCCCCTCTGAGACTTGTTCTCAGTGTCGCCAAACTTTCAAAAAAAAAAAAAATCTTATGAAAAAAATAGAGAATCTTTCTCCAATCATAATGGCACCAAAAGTATGAAATTTGATGGAAAACTTACGAAATTATGCTCACGCGAAGTTAGTGGTCTCGACGATGTTTACGAATCGGCGTTTTTGCCCACTTTGAGCCCTATTTTCAGCCAATTCCAGTGTACTAGTCGACAAAAATCATAACTATTTCGCTAAAACACCATTTTTTCTATCGAATGAGTACAAGAAACCACCCATTTACCAATTTCAACTATCCAATAAAGTGGTCAGAATTTAGCAATTTTGCCAATTTCACACAAATTTCAAAAGATGCCAATTTCCAAATAGTCCAGAATAAACAAGAAAGACATTCCTGGCACCAAAATAACATTTCCTCTGTTCATTAGTCACGTTCCCAGGCCCCTCTTACATTTCTTTTGCTTTCCACTTTGATTTTTTTATTCTCACAAAAAAAAAAATAAGATTTACTGTTATGCAGACTACTGCATTAAGTGTAGAAATGGTATAAATAATATCAGCGCACTTGTGAAAGAATATTAGACTCACCAGTTGACGTGTATTGGACGCTTAGCATGATTTGTTTACTTTTGAACTTTGGTAAAAATCGAACATTTCTGCTACTTTGAGCAAAACCAGTCAAAATCATCTCAATTTCTGTAATATGTCTTCCATTCTATACAATGAGACCAGGAAAACTAGAATACAACAATAAACACCACACGAAAATTCAGTGCAAAGTCGCTGTTTTAGACCAAAAACACGGTCAGTTTTTTTTTCTCATTACGCACTGTGTGCTGCAGGATTTTGTTCATACTGCGCACACTGACCACAGACCCATTCTTTCATATGTAGGCCTACCAGCTTTCTCTCACTAGATTTGAGGGCACTAGAATTTATGCGTACTAGTATGTCAAAAACCCTGGCTCGTAAGCCATACTAGTATGGCCGAAACCCCGAAAGGGTTAAACAAACAAGACCTGATGATATTGACTTGCGCATCAGAATCCATGAACACATGAACGGGCGCATTATGAAAAGATGCTTGTACTATGGGACCTATCGTTGCATTGGAAGTTATGTGCAAACAAAAAGGTGGATTGTCATCAGAAAAGATTTGTTCCGCTTCATCCCCAATATCCTCTACGTCAGAGACGTGTGAAGCAGTATCATCAGCGGGATTGTCATTCTCGAGGCTGCTTAAGGCTTCAAAGGAATTGTGAATGGGGATGGTGTACTCATTATCACCTACAGGTCACCATGGGACGGTTTGATTGTGGCGCTCGAATTCCCCCGAATTGGAAGAATGAGCCTGGTTCTGGTTAGTCAGAACCACGACCTCTGTTTCCTCTCCTGGTTCTGCAGTTGGAACGGCCATGGAAATATCTAGAGTACTGAAGGTAGAGAGCATTGCACTCATGTGTCATGTCCATGTATTCTATGGTAAGTACAGTACGACAGATCAGACTGGTACTCATCATCAGTATGCCTCTTAGGGTGACCCAGGACAATTAATTGCAATATGGCCATGGAAACCACAGTTGTAACAAGTCCGCTGACTATGGTTACTGAATGTAGTATGAATACTACGAGGTTGATAATGACTCTGTACACTGGTCCTTGGTGATCTCTGTGATGGTTGACTACCACGATTTGTCACTGGCACAAACAAGATGTGCAAACTGAGGCATGGGTGTGAAATTACTTTGATACACGGGAAAGTACCCTGGGGGCACGAAGAACGTACATGATTTAGGGCTGTAAATGGTTCCACCATCACAGTTGGAGGATTAGCCTCATAAGCACACACGGAAGTAGGTGGCATTAGTTCTTTGATTGCTCCAAAAGCTGCTATTTTAGCAAACGATGCTGTGGATCGTTTATCCTCGTCAGGCACAAAGGCTGAGGACTGGACAACATTGATAAATGATGATAAAAGTTTATCTGATCTAACAGCAAATGCACTCAACGAGACTCAAGAAATCGTAATGACACGATAGCAAACAAACCATACCCCCGGCCGGGATTGAACCCGCGGTCATAGAGTCTCAAAACTCCAGCCCGTCGTGTTAGCCACTAGACCAGCTAGCCACAATAAGATTCATCCAACTAGTCATGGGTGTAGCATTCACGAGCTCCTGTAGAACGACATATGGATCAGCTGTTTTTACTGGTACAAGGAAAGAACGAATCAGTTCCTCATATTGTGACCACTTAGTAAGATTCCTGAAGTCTCACATTTCAAGGAGATTAACAACATGAACAGCAGCAGGGGACCGATGAAAAGCTTTCGCAAGTCTATCATGATAAAGCTTTCCTCTGAAGGAGGACCGTCAACTAGAGCATTAACACGAGAACGGATGGCAGTAAACCATGCTTCAAGACTATGTACATGGCCATTGAATAAAGGTAACTCATCAAGGGAATCACGAGTAAAACTATAGTGTGTCAGTGTCTGGGTCGGTCTGTCAGTCGATAAGAAACTATGAGGACTGATGACAGGAGCAATAAATAAGGCAAAAATAATGAATAATAAAAATGACACATACTAAAATTGAAATAAAAGAGATATAACTAATTCTGCAGAATAAAAAAAAAATGTCTAAGATACACTGCAAGAGGAAGAATAACTCATTGTAAGGGGCTGTTGGTCAAGGTAAAGAAACACATTGAAATTTATAAGAAAGTAAAAATATTACTGAAGGCTGAATTAAATGCAAAATGAGCTGTCTGTGCTCTTACTTAAAGAAATTTACTAATAAAATTGTAAATCAATGTAAAAAGTATAAAATAAAATTACTAAATTGTATGCAGGAGAGATAACTGGGAAATTAAATATTTTCTAAGAGTGCATAAACAAAATTAAAATATAATGCAAAGACAACAACAGGAAAATTAATAAAATGAAAAACAGAACACTCAAACAATAATGAACTGAGAATAACAGTGCATAAAAATATCCCTCTTCCCTCCCCTCCTACCCCTCTCCCCCCTCCTCCTCCTCCCCCTCCCTTTCCTTCCTCCTCCTTCCTTCCTCCTCCTCCTCCTTCCTTCCCTCCTCCTCTTCTCCTTCCCTTCCTTCTCCTTCCTTCTCCTTCCCTTCCTCCTTCCTCCCTCCCTCCTCCCTCCTCCTCCCTCCTCCTCCCTCCTCCTCCCTCCTCCTCCTCCTCCCTCCTCCTCCTCCCCTCTCCTCCCTCCTCCCTCCTCCTCCCTCCTCTCTCCTCCCTCCTCCTCCTCCCTCTTCCTCCCTCTCCTCCTCCTCTCTTCCTCCCCCTCTTCCTCCCTCCTCTCTTCCTCCCTCCTCTCCTCCCTCCTCTTCCTCCCTCCTCTTCCTCCCTCCTCTTCCTCCCTCCTCTTCCTCCCTCCTCCTCCCTCCTCCTCCTCCCTCCTCCTCCTCCCTCCTCCTCCCTCCTCCTCCCTCCTCCTCCTCCTCCTCCTCCTCCCTCCTCCTCCCCTCCTCCTCCTCCTCCCTCCTCCTCCCTCCTCCTCCCTCCTCCTCCTCCCTCCTCCTCCTCCTCCTCCCTCCTCCTCCTCCTCCTCCTCCTCCTCCTCCCCCTCCTCCTCCTCCTCCTCCTCCTCCTCCTCCTCCTCTCCTCCCTCCTCCTCCTTCCTCCTCCTCCCTCCTCCCTTCTCCCTTCTCCTCCTCCTCCTCCCTCCTCTTCCTCCCTTCTCCTCCTCTCCCTCCTCCTCCTCCCTCCTCCTCCTCCCTTCTCCTCCCTCCTCCTCCCTCCTCCTCCCTCCTCCTCCTCCTCCTCCTCCTCCTCCCTCCTTTATCCCTCCTTCCTCCCTCCCTCCCTCCTCCTTCCTTCCTCCCTCCCTCCTCCTCTTCTTCCTCCTCCTCCTCCTCATTGTTATTATATACTTCCACATATCCAAAACATTGCTGGGACATATAAATATTTTGTATATATTCCAAGACAATAGTAAATGATATAATTAGACACATGTGCAACTCTTGGGTATCTTTATTGAGGAAACGTTTCGCCACACAGTGGCTTCATCAGTCCATACATAGGAGAAACTTGAAGAACAGGAGGAGAATGAGGTAATCAGTCCCTCAACCTTGAGTCGATGTGTTCAGTCCATCAATCTTGAGTAGAACACGGCATATGAGCGGAGAAGGAGCTTATAAACCGTATGGCAGGAGAGGTGCAGCAGTCATAGGTGGTGTCACATTTGTTCAATGTGGAAGTAGGTCGTGCCCAAGAATTAGGCAAGCGAAGAATTCCTAAGTATTAAGATCCCAAGAAGTTGCAGTGTCTGACAGGGACACTTCGGAGTCTATCCATTCCATCATGTCATTCACATATATCAAAAATAGCACTGGTCCTAGAACTGACCCCTGTGGGACCCTGCTCGTCACAGGCGCCCACTGTGATACCTCTTCATGTACCATGACTCGTTGCCTCCCTGTCAGGTATTCTCTGATCCATTGCAGTGCCCTCTCTGTTATACATGCCTGATCCTCCAGCTTCTGCATTAATCTCTTGTGAGGAACGGTCAAAGGCCTTCCTGCAGTCCAGGAAAATGCAATCCACCCACCCTTCTCTCTCGTGTCTTTCTTCTGTTACCTTGTCATAAAACTCCAGATGGTTTGTGACATAGGAGTTGCCTTCCATGAATCCATATGGGTTGTCATTTATAATCCTGTTCCGTTCCGTGTGTGTGTGTGTGTGTGTGTGTGTGTGTGTGTGTGTGTGTGAGTGAGTGTGAGTGTGAGAGTGAGTGAGTGAGAGAGAAATTTTTCAACAGAGTGAGTTAAGGATCAGGGATCTCGACCCTGAAAGGGTTAAGGCTCATTGGCACAGGTAATTATTTCCCTATTTGATAGCTCATGAGTGTTGCTGTTATATAATTTTGGTAACTGTTGCAAAATGAAATACTGTAGGGCATATACCAGACATGCAACAGGTATTAGCAGGACCATACTATGCTATATTTTATGATGGAGAAGGTGTAATAGATATAGAACCTTTATTTTTTTTTATTAACACATCGGCTGATTCCCACCAAGGCAGGGTGGCCCAAAAAAGAAAAACTTTCATCATCATTCACTCCATCACTGTCTTGCTAGAGTTGTGCTTTACACTACAGTTATAAAACTGCAACATTAACACCCCTCCTTCAGAGTATAGACATTGTACTAACTATCTCCAGGACTCAAGTCTGGCCTGCCAGTTTCCCTGAATCCCTTTATGAATGTTACTTTGCTCACACTCCAACAGCACGTCAAGTATTAAAAACCATTTGTCTCCATTCGCTTGTATCAAATACGCTCACGCACTCTTGCTGGAAGTCCAAGCCCCTCGCACACTAAACCTTCCTCCAACCCTTCCTAGGCCGGCCCCTACCCCGCCTTCCCTCCACTACAGATTTATACACTCGAAGTCATTCTGTTTTGTTCCATTCTCTCTACATGTCTGAACCACCTCAACAACCCCTCCCCAGCCCTCTGGATAATAGTTTTGGTAATCCCACACTTCCTAATTTCCAAACTACAAATTCTCTCCATTATATTCGCACCACACATTGTCCTCAGACATGACATCTCCACTGCCTCCAGCCTTCTCCTCATTGCAACTTTCATCACCCGTGCTTCACACCCATACAAGAGTGTTGGTACAACTATACTCTCATACATTCCCCTCTTTGCTTCCACGGACAAAGTTCTTCGTGTCCACAGACTCCTAAGTGCACCACTCACCCTTTTCCCCTCTTGGCATATTTAAAAAAAAATTGAAATCTAATATATTAAGTCACTTTGATGGATACAAGTAATAAGTAAGTGATATAGTTATCGGTGTTCCAGATACTGTTTCGTGGAGAATCTCTACAAGGGAGGAAAAATGTCCAGTGCTGAGTACAGTGTTTACTGTGAGTGGTATAAGATGATCACACAGCATTTGAATGTCAACATAGATCTCATTGGTGAGTAGCACTGGAGACTTATATTCCAATTGCAGTTCAGAACTGTAGATCAACCAGATTTATTATTAATAGGATTAATCTTAATTAATTACTATATGTCTTAAATTTGTTTCCAAAACTGTATTTCAGTGAAAAAATGTTGATGTATGATACCATATGTCTACATGGCCCCATATTTTTAGAGCATCCACTATGCTGTACTTCAAAATTACAGTATAATAAAATATATTTAGTGTTGTAATTACTTTTAACCCATTCAGGGTTGAGACCCTTGATCCTTAACTCTCTCTCTGGGTCAAAAAATATTAAAAAAAAAAAAAAATCTTATCAAAATCATAAGAATATTTTTCTAAGTTTTATAGAACAAAAAATTTTTTTTTTTTTTTTTTGCGATCGGTACTTGCCAAGATATAGGCATGAAGTTGAGAGAAAGTGAACCGCTTACGGCAACATCTGTGACTGCCAGTCACTCGGTAATATATTTACTTTTACAGTGGAACCCCAGTTTTTGTCTGGTCCGAATATTGTACAATTCGGATTTCGACCACTTTTTTCTGTGAATTTTTACCACGAGATTTCGTGTATCCACTCAGAAATCGTCCATACCAGATGCGTTCACCTGGGCCGCTCATGCGTTTGTGATACTAATACATAATAATAAACACTCTTGGCCACATTAAATGTCTTATTTTAGGTTAATATAGACATTCTTAGGTTAATATAGACTTTCTAGTTGTAGCTACACTGAGAGTAAAAGGTAGATGGGATACAAGGAGAATAGAAGCATCAGGGAAGAGAGAGGTGAAGGTTTATAAACTAAAAGAGGAGGCAGTTAGGGTAAGATATAAACAGCTATTGGAGGATAGATGGGCTAATGAGAGCATAGGCAATGGGGTCGAAGAGGAATGGGGTAGGTTTAAAAATGTAGTGTTAGAGTGTTCAGCAGAAGTTTGTGGTTACAGGAAAGTGGGTGCAGGAGGGAAGAGGAGCGATTGGTGGAATGATGATGTAAAGAGAGTAGTAAGGGAGAAAAAGTTAGCATATGAGAAGTTTTTACAAAGTAGAAGTGATGCAAGGAGGGAAGAGTATATGTAGAAAAAGAGAGAGGTTAAGAGAGTGGTGAAGCAATGTAAAAAGAGAGCAAATGAGAGAGTGGGTGAGCTGTTATCAACAAATTTTTGTTGAAAATAAGAAAAAGTTTTGGAGTGAGATTAACAAGTTAAGGAAGCCTAGAGAACAAATGGATTGTCAGTTAAAAAAAGGAGAGGAGAGTTATTAAATGGAGAGTTAGAGGTATTGGGAAGATGGAGGGAATATTTTGAGGAATTGTTAAATGGTGATGAAGATAGGGAAGCTGTGATTTCGTGTATAGGGCAAGGAGGAATAACATCTTGTAGGAGTGAGGAAGAGCCAGTTGTGAGTGTGGGGGAAGTTCGTGAGGCTGTAGGTAAAATGAAAGGGGGGTAAGGCAGCCGGGATTAAATGGGATAAAGATAGAAATGTTAAAAGCAGGTGGGGATATAGTTTTGGAGTGGTTGGTGCAATTATTTAATAAATGTATGGAAGAGGGTAAGGTACCTAGGGATTGGCAGAGAGCATGCATAGTTTCCTTTGTATAAAGGAAAAGGGGGATAAAAGAGAGTGCAAAAATTATGGGGGGATAAGTCTGTTGAGTGTACCGGGTAAAGTGTATGGTAAGTTATAATTGAAAGAATTAAGAGTAAGACGGAGAATAGGATAGCAGATGAACAAGGGGGCTTTAGGAAAGGTAGGGGGTGTGTGGACCAGTGTTTACAGTAAAAACATATAAGTGAACAGTATTTAGATAAGGCTAAAGAGGTCTTGTGGCATTTATGATTTGGAAAGGCGATGACAGGGTGGATAGGGGGGCAATGTGGCAGATGTTGCAAGTGTATGGTGTAGGAGGTAGGTTACTGAAAGCAGTGAAGAGTTTTTATTTTGAGGATAGTGGGGGCTCAAGTTAGAGTATGTAGAAAAGAGGGAAATTTTTTCCCCCGTAAAAGTAGGCCTTAACAAGGATGTGTGATGTCCCCCGTGGTTGTTTAATATATTTATAGATGGGGTTGTAAGAGAAGTAAATGCGAGGGTCTTGGCAAGAGGCGTGGAGTTAAAAGATAAAGAATCACACACAGGGTGGGAGTTGTCACAGCTGCTCTTTGCAGATGACACTGTGCTCTTGGGAGATCTGAAGAGAAGCTCAGAGATTGGTGGATGAATTTGGTAGGGTTTTGCAAAAGAAGAAAATTAAAGGTGAATACAGGAAAGAGTAAGGTTATGAGGATAACAAAAAGATTAGGTGATGAAAGATTGAATATCAGATTGGAGGGAAGAGTATGGAGGAGGTGAACGTATTCAGATATTTGGGAGTGGACGTGTCAGCGGATGGGTCAATGAAAGATGAGGTGAATCATAGAATTGATGAGGGAAAAAGAGGAGGGGTGCACTTAGGAGTCTGTGGAACAGAGAACTTTTTCCTTGGGGGCAAAGAGGGAATGTATGAGAGTATAGTATTTACCAACCTCTTATATGGGTGTGAAGCATGGGTGATGAATGTTGCAGCGAGGAGAAGGCTGGAGGCAGTGGAGATTCATGTCTGAGGGCAATGTGTGGTAAAGAATATAATGCAGAGAATTCGTAGTTTGGAATTAGGAGGAGGTGCGGGATTACCAAAACTGTGTCCAGAGGGCTGAGGAAGGGTTGTTGAGGTGGTTCGGACATGTAGAAAATGAGCGAAACAGAAAACTTCAAGAGTGTATCATCTGAGTGGAAGGAAGGCGGGTAGGGGTCGGCCTAGGAAGGGTTGGAGGGAGGGGGGAAAGGAGGTTTGTGTTTCGAGGGGCTTGGACTTCCAGCAGGCAAAGCGTGAGCGTGTTTGATAGGAGTGAATGGAGACAAATGGTTTTTAATACTTGACCGTGCTGTTGGAGTGTGAGCAAAGTAACATTTATGAAGGGATTCAGGGAAACCGGCAGGCCGGACTTGAGTCCTGGAGATGGGAATTTCAGTGCCTGCACTCTGAAGGAGGGGTGTTAATGTTGCAGTTTAAAAACTGTAGTGAAAGCACCCTTCGGGCAAACGGGTTTGGAGTGAATGAGGGGAAAAGTTTTCTTTTTGGGGGCCACCCTCCCTTGGGGGAATGGGCCAGTGTGTAATAAATAATAAAAAAAATAGAAAATTTTCTTTAATCCATCTATGATTTTTTTCTTCAATATTATATAGAAACAGTTCTAGCATATAAACATGCATTTTTTTAATATACTATGGAGGGTACTAGTCAGGCAGGGGAAAACATTACGTTTTCTCTGGTCCACTCAAGAAAATGTGTATAACTGCTTTCCCCCGTCACCCCACTTAATACAAAATGCTTTGTTTACAATTTTTTGGGCACAAATTTTATTCTTATTTCTCCTTTGTCTATGAGGGCACAAAAGGAGTTGTTAAAACTATAAACTCGTGAACAGGATGTCGATGGAAATAATTGCCCCTCTGGGCCGCATTAAATACTTATCTAGGATTGAAGAGTTGGTAGAGAAATATCACCCTAACAAAAGAGCTGCAAGCCGTGTCTGCATGGTCCATGCTCTCAACGGGTCCTAGTGCCAGTAAAAAACAAAAAAGGGGAAATAACCCGGTTAAGCTTTGATACCTAAAGGGCCTTTGGGGTGGGGATTTCCCCTTCCAACAATAACCTCCCTCCCTTTCCATCCTTGCCGTTTCCCAACCCAATAAGTCTCTTCAGAAAAGGGTAAAATGATTAAATGTTCATTTATCCTTAAAATTAATCATTTATTTTATTTCTCATTTTTTCCCCCGTATGAAAATCTATAGTTATTCTGTAAAAACAAAACTTAAGGGGTAGGGGAGTTTCAGTGAGAGAAATAAATGGGAAAAAGCGGAGAAATCTGAGAGAGTTAGGGAAAAGGGAGGTAGCTTATGCTAAAGGATCAGTTATGGAGGAGAAAGGGAATTAAATTAAAAATACAAAATTACGTGGATTAAAAAAAGGGTGGGATGTAAAAATGATTACAATAATTGTACCCTGGAGAAGAGGGGAGTGTAAGGAAGAGAAGAGAAGTTTTTGGGAGATTTTAGCCATGTGTGGGAGCATTTGAGTCAATGAGAGATAATTGTGGGGGGGGGACCAAAATGCCAAGTAGGAGAAGTGTTCAGAGAAGGGTGGCGGGTAATTTGGGTGCCGGGTGAAATGATAATGGGGACATTGACTGAACTTTGTATAAAAGGGGGTTTGGTTATAGGTAACACATATTTTAAGAAAAAGGGGAAAAATTTTAATAAAAAAAGATATGATAGAGGGCGTAAGAAGTATTTGTTGGACTAGATTGGTAAAAAAAGACTGTTGGTAGATTTTCCCGGATGTCATTTTTAGGGGGGCCACAGATATATCAGACATTTTTAGTTGTACACAGTGAGAGTAAAAGGTAGATGGGATACAAAAAAAGGGAAGCAGTAAGTAGGAGAGAGGTGAAGGTTTAAAAAAACGGAGGAGAGGCAGTTAGGGGTAAGATAAAAAAACTTTTTAAGGACAGAGGGGCTTCTGTGTGAAAAGGCAATGGGTAGAAGATGTATGGTTAAGTTTAAGAATATAGTGTTAGAGTGTTCAAAGAATTGTGGTTACGGGAAAAGGGGGTGGGGGGAAGGGAAGAAAGAAATTTTGGTGGACTATGATGAAAAGGGAAGAAATAAGAGAAAAAAAGTTACATATGAGGGGTTTTTGCAAAGTAAAGTGGCAAAGAGTGAGGAGTATAGGGGGAGAAAAAAGGGGTTAAAAAGTATGAAGCATGTAAAAAAGAGAGAAAATGGAGGGGGTGGATGTTATCAACAAATTTTTTGAAAATAAAAAAAGTTTTGGAGTGAAATTTAATAAGCTGAAAAGCCTGGGGAACGAATGGATATTTTTTGTTAACCCTTTTCGGGGTTCGCCGTACAGTACGGTTTACGCACCGGGGTTTTTTGAAGTA